TTTTTTTAATCCCTTCTCTTTTTGTGTTCTTCTTCTTTCCAATTTTTGATCGCATGGGAACCCTGTTATAATCCTCTCTCTTCTTCCAATTGGCAGGAGTGGAGTTCTATTATCTGCGCTTGAACCTGGTCCGAAAGCAGTGCAGATTCATGCTGGCAGCAGATTAACTCTAAGATGGCGGCATTCCCCGGGGGATTGATCTTTTTTTTCAGTAATGTACAGCCTTGGGCACTGGGCCTGCTTTCCAGTCTGATACCCGAGATAGGATGCTGGACCTGTTTTCAGCAATGCGGGTTGAATTGTGAGGTCCCCGGGCCGTGGTCCCATTAGCGAAGAGCATCGGATTGAATGCCTGAATCTGGACGTGTTTGAGGACAGGAGCAGGAAATCGAGATAGAACTGCTTTTCTGTATCTCTGCATAAAACATAGCCAGATTCAGGATTTCTATCCTATCCCCTTCGCCAGTGGGACCACGGCCCCGACCTCTGTTCTTGTCTTTTTAATACCAAGCAAAATTAAAAAAAATAAAATAATAATAATAATAATAAAAATTCAATTTCTTTTAAAAATCAATAAATAAAAATCGACGAGCGACTTTACCGCTTAGAGTCCGTCAGATCTTATCGACTGGATGGATAAGAATTGTATCCCCTCTGCGTTTGAACCTAGTCTAAAAGCAGGGCAAATTCATCATGCTAACGTCAGCATGCAGTTCGGCCAGGTGCGCTTGACCCTTTCTATTCGGAACGGAACGAGGGCGAGGGCGTACTCACACCACCACCTTCACCTGAATAGAATGCCCAGACATTATCGCTGCATCTGGACGGAAAATTGCCCCAAATACAGCTATAATGGCCGGCGTTCTATTTGTGTGAAGACGGTATGACATTTTGGGCTGCGCTCTGGATGTGATTGCGGTCATATGCATCCAAGAATCTGGCCGTGAAAGCGGTTAGGTACATCCAGGAGAGTCCTACCTAGTGTGAGCGTGGCCCGAGTAAAGTATTGGTCGGCCGTCGAGAAGAACTCACACTGGACACCCAGGAAGAGGGGCTACAATTTTCTCCCGAACAGAACGCACGGTCATTATATGGATGTGTTTGGGCTAATTTGCAGTCTAGACACAGCGAGAACGACCGTGCGTTCTATTTGGGGAAGACGGTAGTTTACTCAAAATCGGGAAGCGTGAAGAATACAATTAGTAATAACGTTATGCTCGGCAAGGGACGTTAGCACGTGTGCAGGTCATGCATGAACCCGTGCGTCTTTACGTCCAGGTGCATTCTGATGGGCTGTCTGTGTGCATGCAAAAATTGTAAACAGTGACGTTACGCTTGGAAAGGGACGTCAGCACGTGCAGATCATGCATCTTTACGTCCAGCTGCATTCCGATGGTCTGTCTATCTGCATGCGAAAACTATAAGTAGTGACGTTCGTTATGATTGGTAAGGGACGCCAGCACGTGTGCAGATCATGCATTTTGGCGTTTTTACGTCCGGGTGCATTCCGATGGGCTGTTTGTCTGCATGTGAAAACTGTAAACAAAGACATTATGCTTGGAAAGGGACGTCAGCACGTCTGCATGCGAGGAATAGTATAGTAATATGGTGTCGTTATGATTTGAAAGGGACGTGAGCGCGTGTGCAGATCGTGCGCACTTGGGCGTGTTGACGTCCACGTAAATTCTCTCTCTCTCTCTCACACACACACACACACACACACACGCACACACACACACACACACATGCTCGTAAACGTCTTTACGTCCACGTGCATTCTGATGGGCTGTCTGTGTGCATTTTTACCGTATGTCGTCGTTATCTAGTTGGCAGTCGTACAGTAATCATCATCATCATCATAGTCAATCAACTGGCTACGGTTTTGTGCATCCCGTCTTGCGGCTGAGTTGGCTGCCTAGTACGCAAGAGGTTCTGAACAGGGGGAGTTGTAAGGAAGAAGATAAAAAACGAATTCATTCTTTTCCTTTTTTCTTTTCCCTTTTTTTTCGCTTCTGCGCTCTGATATTCATGTGACGATATATCTCTTCGCCCCTCCGGAGTATGAGAATGAGAGTGAGAACAAGAGTGTGTGCGTGTGTGAGGGAGAAAGGAAGGAGGACACCATTATGAAGGGAGGGCTGTTCGCATCTGACGTGTGTATAATCTTGACCTTGACATGGCTTTCCTTTGCAGGTTCGTGGTGCCTGTTACTCTCGTGTGGTCCCCTCCATGATCGTTTCCGATCCGCATGTCATCTATTTCTCACCACAAGCAGCGGATCTGATTGACCTTGATTTGGCTGAGTAAGTGTTCTATGTTCTCGTCTCTCCACCTGCCGCTCATCTCCCACAGACAAAACACAGCTCCCAGACAACAAGAAGGCGAAAAAAAAAAAAAAAAAAAAAAAAAAAAAAAAGGCATGACCAACAGGCCTATCTCAGTTGGTTACACCCATGGACTGTTGAAATAATTACATACCACAGTTCGAATCCCAATGAACTCGGATGATTAAATCCTCCTCTGGATTTACCTGAGCCTGGTTAGTCTGAAGATGATATATCTCAAGTCAAGGCCATCGCCCTTTCTAGTCGGAAGGAAGGAGACAAGAAGGGAAAGGGGGGGGAGGGGGGAGACGGGAAAAGAAATAAAGAAAAGGGGAGCGGATGTGGTCTTGTCTTGCTGGAGGTGATTACAGAAAAGCCAAACCGATTTTCAGCAGAAGTTTGGGTTGTTCAATATCTTTCTCGGGATTTTGTTCTAAAAATAGATGAATTGTAGTATTTGTTCTCATCATTTCAATATCTGAGTGAAAAAAAAAATTGAAAAAAAAAAAAGAAATAAAAAAAATTGAATAAGTTCGTTTTTTCAGCACGGGGTTGGTACACGCGTGAACTTTTGAAAAAAACAAGATCTGAGTTCGAATCCAGAGGGAAATAGAATACTAGATGAATGAATTGAATTGAATTCATGATTTATTTGTTTATTTGGGGCTAGTCAGCGCAATGATCATGTCTGAAGGCCGTCGCCCTTTAAAAAACGTCAGCCTCTGGAAGTCGCCTCCCTTTAAAGGCACCAAGGGGGGGGGGAGGAATGGGGAGTTTGTTCGTTCATAGCACATAGCACTGTTGCTCGTTGGCATGCAGATGGTGATGTGACATGCCTTGCCGTGTTTAAGTACTTAGTCCATTCTTCACACTTTGATGGGCGGAGTGTTACTCCTCCGCCGATCCAAGGATTGCTGCTTATCTTTGGGTGAAGGCCAAACCCAGCCCAGTCAGGAGGTTTACAAGAGACCAAGGGCCTCGCTCCACTATTCACAAATTGTGCAAAATGAGAATGAATCTGGGCTTACAAGAGACCAAGGGCCTCGCTTCACTATTCACAAATTGTGCAAAATGAGAATGAATCTTCCGCTAGAACATGGAATGATACACGGTCATACGTGTTGTCTTTTGTGCATGTGGTGAGTAGTCGCGACAGGCCCAGGAAAACTGTATTACCAACTGGGCCGCCTGGGGCACCTTGGTTGCCTGGGTGGCCCGGCCGGGCGGGCAAGGGTCAGGGAAGGTCTCTGGAAAAAATAAAAAGAAATCCAAAAAAAAAAAAAAAGAGAAACGATGTTGTCGAGAAAAATAAACTGGAGAACGTTGGGCGTTCAGGGTCGCATCAAGATTCTTTATCCAAAAAAAAAAAAAAAAAAAAAAAAAAAAAAAAAAAAAAAAAANAAAAAAAAAAAAAAAAAAAAAAAAAAGCAAAGTTTTAATCATTTTGGCCCGGCACGGCTAGTGGTCCCGGGCCAATCTGGTAACTTAGCAAAGGAGAAAAACTTAAAGAGCCCCGCAAAAGATTGCTAAGTATGTCTGAACGCTGATGAATAACGTAGCCCCCCATTTCACAAGAATACAGAGCATTAGGTAGATCTTGACAGGGCTATGCTGTTTTTGTCTCTCGCCAGTATTATGCACCACATTGGTAAGAATGTTACAATGTTTTTTTTTTGTTTTTGCTTTTGTCTAATTGCTTACAAAGCTGCGTACCCCTCCTTTGTCTTCGTTGTCTATTTGGGACGTCGGCAAGTTCGTTCATTCTCTCCTCCTCCCAGTCCCCCTTCCTCTCGACGTCGTGCTGATGCTAATCTGCGGGTTTCTTTGTCTTACCGACAGCCTTCTCTGCCACGTCGACGGCGTTCGTCATTCATGCGCCGACCCCACCAGATCAGACCTAGCTTTCCAGTGGTGACCGGATCGGATCTGCGGGCAGATCTACCAAACGCTTGTGGATTGACAGCCACAAATGTCTGCCTACCTCAATGGCTTATCAGCGTCAATGTTATACTGCTTCCCATTTTGTCACGATTGCTTATCAGCTTGACGCTGTTGAAAATCAGTTGTTGTACGATCATAATGGTCGACCTCCTGAAGGTAAAAATTATGCTACCTCAGGAGGCTTTACTGTAAATGTCTTACAGCTAGCTTTCCACGGTCGCCACCTTCTTATGCATCATGCGACGCCAGGCGATGACCTTAATGACCATCCTCATATTTCTGCTTGTATTTTGCACAGACGCGGGCATTATATGGCACTCGTTCGTGCAGCTGCCCAGTGGGAACTGTGGGATGGTGAGACAATGATTCAGGGCTATTTTCAACATAAATGAATTTCTGTGTGCATTGCCGAATCATACTTTATTCTGGATTATTGATCGACCATCTCTCGTGTGACACCTGTCGGGACAGTGACGCGGTGCGTCTTGGCTGCGTGCGGAATTCATGACCTATGCCATCAACATTATCAATCTATTGCAGCCGCTGCCACCTGTACCGAAGGGTGTCCAACACTTCCTCATTGTACACATCCCAATCACCCAGATATTCGTTGTCCCTTTTGTGCTCAAGGACGCTATCAGGACTGCATGATGCTGCACTGCGTCCTGCTGTTTTTTTGACATGTGGACAGCTGTCCTTTGTCAGGACTGTTTTGATGGGATGGTCCGTGCTAGCCGTCCTGCTGAATGCTGTGCTGAAGTAGCTCTCCTTGGGTATCCTTGTGAACATCCACGTCATCCTCAGCGTGCCTGTCCTATCTGCCGGGGTGCAGGTGGGGGCTCCTCTTCCTCTTCCTGACTGGTCAATAGAATCAAGCGATCAGGAGCAATACTAATTGTAGGACAGATAAAGCTTTCGATACTACCAACAGATGTGGAGTTGAAGAAAGAAGAAAGAAACAAATTGAAAAAACAAAAATTGAATAAATACGAACTAAACTACTGACAAAAGTGACCACAATTAACATAACCACAGTCAGAGTATCAAACAGAAACCCCCAAGAAGCATCAAACATTTCTGACAAAATCCATGGTGCGAATTTGATATAACAAGCACTGGCTCCCAGTGCAACCTCATAAAAAGCTATGAAACACAGACCTGAAGAAATTGGAACACAAGTGGTTGTTACCAAGGCAGCCCCTCGTGGACCAAGAAAGCGACCAAACACGCCTGCTACTAAACTACCGAGTAGAGGTAAGACTAAGAAAGAAAAAAAGAAAGAAAAGTACAAATTTCAGAAGAAAAGAAAAAAGAAAACAAGAAAAAAGAAAAAAAAATGTTGAGCTTTGTAGTGACAGTGGCAATTGGTTTATCTATGGGATGTGTCATTTGCTTTCTTCCTTCGTCTTTTCTTTGATTGGATCCCTTTCTCTCTCTCTCGCCTCTGGGAGGTCTGGTTTCCTCCTCCTTTTCCTTACCTCTTTGCCTTTTGGCTGCGTGCAAGTGGGTCCTTGTGACACACGGGGATGGGGGCAGCCAGTGCTCAACCTGTCATCCACGTGGCTGGCCTTGTACGTAAGAGGTGACGAACAGGTAGGGCTTTCCTTCCTTACTTCTTTTCCTTCTCTTGTTTTGTTTTTTGATGAGTTGGTGAAACTCCGTCGAAACAGTTTGAGGGTTTGTTGTCCTCTTCTCCCTCTCTGCCGACGGTTTACCGGGCAGCTCTGTTTGACTACATATATGACGATTTTTACGATATATATGACGATATATATATTGTCAAAACAGAACTGCCCGGTAACCATAGGCAGAGAGGGAGAAGCATAATATATATGAGTCGGTGAAACTCCGACGAAACAGTTTGTCACAGCCCCTCGTTTGTTGTCCTCTTATCTCTCTCTGCCTACGGTTTACCGGGCAGTTCTGTTTGTGACGATATATA